CCCCCCCCAAACAAACAAACGAATGACCGAGTATTCAGAGAATTTCTCCAGCACTCAAAATAATAACATAATATCCTTAGGGGCCAAAGAAAAGAAATCTGGTCACGCCCCAAAGCTCGTGTTTCGGGGGACCAATTTATTACTCTTCCCCAGACTGCGCACTCCACGTGTTTGGTGATGAAATATATTGCACATACTTATATGGCGAGAAGCCCTGAGTTTGGCACTCCCGAAAAGCATAGAGAACACCTTTTGCCGGACAATCTCTGCAAAATATGAAATTCGGAAAGTACTTGGCTTCTCGCCAACTCGAGCTTCCGGAGTACTCCGGTCATTTCATTGACTACAAAGCACTCAAAAAACTCATAAAGCACTTGGGGATGCCAGCAGCGTCATTGGATTTTAGTGAAACTCCATCTACGCCTACACAGAGCCAAATTCAAGCCAAACTAAAAGAGAACAAGGCCTCCTTTTTTTTCAAGGTAAAGCGTGAATTGGACAAAGTCAACTCATTTTACTTGGAAAAACAAGCCAATCTCACTGTGAACTTGGACCTTCTCATGATGAAGAAAAATGAGCTTCTATCAAAATCTGCACAGTTGGCATTGCAATCTTCAGATCACTCGTCGCTCAACTTCAAAAACTCGATTTTGTACTTGAATCTCTACCAGAGCTTTAAGAAGATACACCAGGATTTGTCTCGTTTACAACAGTTCATCGAGTTGAACGAGGCAGGGTTTCTGAAGGTGGTGAAAAAATGGGATAAACGCTCAAAATCTCACACCAAAGAATTGTTTATCCAAACAGCTGTGAGCGTTCAACCAGTTTTCCACAAGAATGAGATCAATGAGTTGTCTGACTTGGTGACACTGTCCTTGTTCGACTTGGAAAGCATCATGGACGGAGATTACTCCGCATTGAAATCTGCCTCCATCTCGGAACTTTCGATGGCGTCGGCACTGACTAATAGAACTGGTTCCATCACTAAGTTGGAGCAAGATGCAACCGTGGAGTCCACAAACCTGTCGTACCATGGGCCTGGGCAATTCAATACCTCCCGTCATAGTTCGTTGTCGGGATTCTACCATAACGAAATTGATGATTTGTATTCTAGTTTCGTCAACGTTGCCACTACGAAGATTCCAGATATGTCTGTTCTTGAGCGATGGTTCGCCAAGGTCGAATCGTCTTCCGAAGACGGCTCAGGAAAGGAGAAATTATCCAAAATATTCATACTCGCGATCAGTAATTTGAAGATATCTGATGCATTTTTGGAAGCTTTTCTAAACCATGTTCACTATGACATTGACTTTACAATTGATACAAACGACCTCAACACCAAACCCATCATTCATGAGTGCTGCTCTATTCCCCCGGCCTCCTCCATCGACGACAATCTGCACGTTGTTATCAATAACGGGGTCAAAGTTGTCAATTCTTCTGATAGCATCAGTCATACCAGAGTTTTTATTGTGAAACATGTGATAGAAAATTCGTCTCCGTCTTCCCTCAAGGATCTTCTCGCAGTCAAAGACTTTAACGGCCGGACTTGTCTACACTACGCAGCACAAAATAATAGGCAAGATCTTTTGGAGATCTTACTTCCACATTTCCCTGTTTGTCACATTGATGATCTTGATAAGGATTCAATGTCTGCTTTGCTTTTGGCTATCAGTTTTGACAACTTCGACATGATTACTACCCTTATCAGCTATGGCAGTAATTGCTACCCTGAAACAAGCGAGTCCAAACTACAGTATTTGCCAATCAATTATGCGTGTAAATTCGGCAACTACAATACGTTGGAATATCTTTTGCGCTCAGGCAATTCAACTCCCGAAATGATTAACCGTCAGGACGTTGAGGGATTACTCCCACTTCATGTGATTGCTCGTTCGGGAAACTTTAAGCTTATTAAATTGTTGATCCAATACGGCGCAACCATCAATCACTTAGATGGCTTGAATAAGTGGCCTCCCATATTTTATGCAGCTCTGGAAGGACATGCCAAAACAACTCATGAGTTGATCAAATTTGGTGCGAGACTAGACATTGTTGATGAAGATGGGTACAATGTTCTATATTACTGTGTTGTTGAAGGTCACATTGAGGTTTTGAATCATTTACTCACTTACAAAATGGAGTTTCCTCCAAGCAATGACAACCCCAACAAGAGTGATCATGCCAGACATGAAGATACGTCAGTTTCTCTGTCTATTGTACCACTGTCTATTCTTGATGAAGGAGATGATCTGGAAGATAGCGGCGATCCCGATAAAAATACAGATGCAATTCCGCATCTTGAACTTCCCCCTCCAATTTTGCCGCTCAGAAGATATGGACATAGTTTTCTCGAGCAGAAGGTGCTTATTGAGTTGATTTTCCCCGTTGATTCTCATTATATTCATCTTTTTGACTTGGGTACCGAATTAAAGCCCGGGAGAATCACGATCTCTTCCAACTTATCTGATATTGTTCCTAGAAACATCCTTCTCCCCGCCTCTGATGGTCAAAAAGGCACGACAAATTGTATGTTTCAAACTGACGTGGACTCGCTAAATGGGTTTCGCATTGATTTTGAGATTTTTCCCAAATTCGGCACCCGCTTAATCGCAAAAACAACGGCTTTGAATTTCTCTCAAATCGACACATCCTCCCCTGAAATTAACTCGATCCTGTTGCCTCTTTTTGATATCCGTTTGCGAAACATCGGAGAGTTGACATTCAACTATCAGATTATTTTCCCATTTTCAGGAACACTTTTAGAAACCACCAAATATGATACTTACTGGAAGTCTTCTGCATCATTTGTTAAGCGTCTGCCGGGCGTTAACGGGAATGCTGCCGGAAGTTTATCCCCAAACAACTTCTTGTCTCCCAACAGCATTAACGCGAACAGAATCGGCTCGACACCGTTGAAGCCAAAGCTCATCGATGTACAACCACCAGTGACTTTCCTGAATTCCAACATTCTGAACTCGTCATTCGTGACTGCAACTTCTCTTAGCGGCGAATACTTGAGGGTAAAAGTTTGCCTCTTGAACGATGGCACACCAGTAATATGTCCACACTGGGCTATAGCAGTTACAGACAATATTGAACTATATTTGCCTAATCTCTCATTGAAACAACTCATTTCGATGACCACAAGTCTCTTTGATTATGACAAAGTGTTGCAAGACTTGTCGCGAATGAAATCGAAAGATTTACTTTTTGTCAAAAAGTTGTTGAAGATCATGTACATTCCTCTAGAGACAGTCTTGAAGGTGTTAGATCCTGGTATCAACTTGAGTATTGAGATCATTTTTCCCTCGCTTTTTGAATTGGACAATCTTCCATTTGCTGGAAATATCCAGCTGAATCTCAATAAGTTCATCGACATCACGTTGGTCGAAATCTTCGAACATGTGAGATCTGTGAAGCAAGCCAATGATGGCTCTAGCAGATCTCTCATATTTCTTTCCTCGAATTCAATTGTGTGCAAAATTTTGAATTGGAAACAGCCAAATTACCCTGTTTTCCTAATCATGAACGGCATTGTTTACAATAATTCAAAAAACGTCTTCGAGGCAAGAACTGCAAATGGTTTGCTCATGGATGAAATCAAGAACGAGCCATCGGTAAAGGAAGTTGTTAACAGCCCAACTTCTAATACCCTGCAGAGCAAATTGAAATATCAATTGCTTGCCAACGATCAAGAGCTCACCGTGAGGTCGATAAAGGAAGCAACGGGATTTATAATGAACAACAATCTCATGGGTGTCATCACCTCTATTCATTTATTAAATCTAGTTCCCAAGCTTATTCCGTTGATTCGATCTAGAGGATTGGTACTCGTTGCGTCCAATGACCTATTTGATTCGGAGGACAGCGATTTCCTGTCACACAAAGACCTAGACACATACACAAGAACTGACATTAACGGTTTGCGATTTGATGATGTTCTCAGTTTTAAAAATGGTTCGTGAGTAAGATTCAATAGCTTTTCGTTAATATTAATCTTTCTGACAGTACTATATTCAATTATGATGGCGTCTTCTTCTAGATGGTGGAGGTGGAGGTGGGGGTGCCTTCTTCCATCTAGCCTTTTCTTGAAGTACCGAATTCTGTGACCTATTTTCGTGAGAATTTGTCGCTTCTTTTGGTAGAGGTGGAAGGCTCTTTGATAGATATTCTTTTGGTAAATTGAGAAGACCAAGAGTTTGCGCGGATGATGGACATCTTTCAATAGAACTTAAAGGGCCCGACAATCGCAGTGGGGTTTGAAAGGCGAGTGCTCCTGAATTTTTAAGAGTGCTTTGTAGAGTGCTGTGTTTTGAACTTGGCAATCTAAACACATTCAGATTGTTGGCCTCAAAAATGTTCTGGCACTCTTCTTCTTCGAGGGCAAGATTATGGGATGTGGTGTGCTTATTGTAGTCGCTTATGGATGAAGCTCTCACGGACGCTATTCTTGACAAGGAAAATGAATCTGTGGATTGATTGGAGCTTGAGACTTTAAGTTTCAACTCATTCACTTTAGAGCTGAGGGATGATGCGGATGCTAAACTTTCAGAACTAGAATTATGGATGCTGTCAAGCCCAGAGAGTTTGAGAGAATGTGAATTTCTGGGGACTCTAAGCCAGGATATATTGAGACATCTTGTCGCAGTTTTCAAAATTGAGCGTCGATATGAGTCCAGCTCCTCTTCCTCGTTGTTCCTTTCATAAACAGTTTCATTTGGCACCACGTCGCAATTCATTATAACGTTTGAAAGAACTTCAATAAGCTGAGGCACTTTGTATTTTGGCGAAATGTTATTAAGTTGAGTAAATATGAGCAACGGATGCAAGATCTTGAGGTAAGTGAGAGCCAAAAGGCAATTCTCTTGGGACAGCTTATCCGAGCTGTAGTCTAGGTCGTCCAATTCACGAATAATGATATCAACCAAAATCTTCAAATCGTTTAGATAAGCCACCTTACAAGAGTTAGTGGAGGACAAAATCAAGTAAAGAAACTTGAGCATTTGTATCCTGATTATGTGAGATTCCTCCCTGTTCATGTGGTACACTAGTAGGTTTATGAAGCCACATATACCATTAACGGAATTTTTTCGTGTAATGAGAAGTCTTTCAATGACCTTATTTTCAGAAACTTTGTTCGAAATAGATCTCATCATATACTGCTCGTTGATGAGAAGTAATAATTTGAACTCCTCGTATGCAATGAGTTTGCTCACATCTTCAAAGTCTTTACCCGCCAAGTTGTAGTTGTTGAAGTTGTCATTAGAAAGAAAGTCATCAATTAGCGTGGGTATTAGCGCACAGCGGGTCAAAGAATAAAACTCGTCATCTGATAGTAGAATGATGTGGTACAAGTACTGAAAAAAGATGTTGCAACTGAAGTTTAGAATCACATATGACACATGAGAGTGATCAGATTCCCTGACATGACCAGCAATGAATTGTGATAATATTTCAACAAAATTCAAGTCTCTCAAGGTGTATAGTATTTCTTCTTTACTGATCACCAGAGAAAGTATCAGATCACCGGCCTCTTCCCCGCACAATTTGAATAAAAGAAGTACAATAATCAGTAAGACTTCCTTTAGCGTAATCGCATCTTCAGTACAGTCCCCAGCAACGGACTGGCTTAATACACTCATGAGTCCCAAGATCTTTCCAAGACAGAACTGGTGGTTCTTGATAAAAAGGTTCAGGTTTAAGAATTTGAGAGCTATGATTGAGCAACTATGATAGGTTTCGTCTTGCATCTTGAGGTAGTCAGCAGCTAACTTGAAGAAAACAGAGAGGTTCGAGTTGCATTCGCTTGCATCACTAATGATCAAAATAGGATACAAACTATCGAGGAATTGACCAAACGTTAAATTCTCCAGGTCGTAATCCTGTTCTCCAGTTGAGGGAGTGTTGCCAACGATGGGAAATGATGTCAACGGAAGTTCTGGGGAGTTGAATGGCGATATCCCTCGCATGTTGTAGTTGATTTATTCCCAGAAAGAATGGAAGAGATTTTCAGTACTCCGAGTATGGGACCTCGAGATAAGGCGGTATTCGTGGCCAAAGCTCTAAAAATGGTCAATAATGAAATATGACAATGGTTTCGAGCTAAGCCCCGAAAAATAGTTTTGCCGACGAGTTCAACGTGGGTAATTTCTAATTTTATTGGCAGCCACGACGAAGATCCCAATCTAAGAGCGGACGGCGTGTTGAATATGTTGTTTCGCATCAGAACGAGCCACGGTGTCGAGCCGCACGCGGGGAAATTGGCAAGACAAAACATAATTGCTTTTAATATTGTCACTTCTCCGTAACCGAACTAAACATCTCTGTGCTAGGGTTTACGAATTTATACTAAATGTTAATTGAAGGATAGCGAATGAATCATTTTGAAAAATCCACATCTGAATGGATCCTGAACTCATGTGATCACGTGTACGAGAATATACTTCTGAAGGGACATATGTTGATCAGTCTAGTTGACATTCTAATAATTTAAAAGTAGGGCTTCTTTCTTGTAAAGAATCCTCAGCGAGATGACCCTTCTCGTTTGGCTGTATAAGTAGCACTGTAATGTTCCCAATCTAAAATAGCTTGAAATTCGAAGCACCGGACACTCATAGTGTTTATTGACCAACCGTCTTCAAGTAAACGTCAGTGCCCCACCCCCAATAAGTCTGCACACTCAACAGCCCCTTTACAGCAGGCGTGGCTGTATCCAGGGACACCGTGTCGTTAAATATCTCAATATAGCTCTTCAGAAGAGGAAGGCCATATCCCATTCCCGCAACCGTATTCCCACCCATGCCGGGAGGCACGTTTAAAGTCTTGAAAGCTTCGCCCTCATTCGATTCATATGTCGTGAACAGATAGTCAAACATATGCTGGAGGGTTTGCGGTGGTATTCCCTTACCTTTATCTCTAATTCTAAGTTCCATATATGAGGGACTTTCACTGGTGGACACGGTAATTTGAACAGGATCACTTACATTATTTTCAATGTGAGCACGAAAAGAGTTTTTGAAAATTTCCTGTAGGATGTACTCCAAGTGATACTCGATATAAGGGAAGTGGATGGAGGCGTCATTGTCTTCACGAGGCTCGAGCGTGGGAGGTTCTTTCAGAGTCCAAAATCTCCCGGGATGAAGGTTTGTGTCAATTTTCACAGCAACAGACAGATCGTATTTCATGAGGAAGATGTCATTGACAAGCTCTACATTTTTGCGTATCACTTCGCGAATATCTAGCATTTTGATCACCCCGTTGTAGCTACCCCCGTTCTCGAACGTGTTGGACAGGAGTGATTTCGTAAGCTGTATATGTTGGTGTGCAATCAATCTCATACTGATTCGCTCTACCAAGTGCTTATCTAAAAAACTCTTGATCTTCTTTGCTGTTAATAGATGAGTGACTTCGCTAAATCCCTTTGACAATGTTGGAAGCGCATCTGCGTGAATCTCGATGAAGTCCGACAAAACACCATTGGAAAAAGCCTCATTCTCTTCGAGTGTGTTTGGTGGATTCAAAGAAGCCTTGAGAAGAATTGACATTGATTTCAAGTACATGTTGTACAGTTCAGAGATTGATGGATTCAACATGACCAAGTATGGCAAATCCCGAAAATTGCGCAACCTCATTGCGTTGTATGCCAAGAGCGATTCAACGACATCTCTTGCCACCTGTAAAATATTTGTCTCATTCAAATTTCTTGACTGCTCATAGAGTTTCAGCATCGAAAACTTGCTCAAAGGTTGATTCGAGTAGTGATAGATGAGCCTCTCCAAGGAGGATCTCACTTTGTATTCCATTAAGAAGTCCTTCGCATGACCATGTGCTCCTGTAGAGTTGTATCTTGCATTGCCCCTATAACAAAAAGATAGCGGAAATATACTTTTGAATTCTCTCTGAACTGAATTCCTCAGGCGTCGCAAGAGCATGTCCAACAGTTGTAGAAAGATGTTCGAAGGATCTTCGATTTGCTTCAGTTGAAGGTAGCTTTGTATATAGGCGATGTAATTCAAAAGCCAAAACTTGAATATTTTTTTGAAAATAAACTCTCGTGCTTCAAAATGTATGATTCAGATTCGGTCTTGCGAATGCCGACAGTCTCAATCTCCAGGGCTGGCTTCGGTGAGTCTTTCGCAGAATCGGCCAACGGTCTTGTGTGCCTTACCGAATGGCAAAAATCCGGGGCTTGCCTACGCACGTTACGTATTTGGCCCTGCACAGGCATACCGACTGAGAATCACCTGACCTTTGAAGACATGGTTTAGGCTTGATTCAATACATTAATCAATTTACTTGCGCCCCAAAGAAAGGCCCAACAGAAGAGCCATTGAATGTGTACTTTTGCGGGATGAAACCAAAATCGTCCGACCTATGTCCAGTGTGCCATTCCCAGTCACTCGAGAAGACCAAAAGTCCAGATGCCCAGGCAGACATCTCTTGGATCCGATGCGATATCTGTCTTCAGTGGTATCATTCTTTATGTGTGGAACTAACTGAGTTCCGTTTGAAACAAATTGCGCTGTTTCATTGTCCCGAGTGTGAGATTGAAAACGGACCGTCACATATGAAACGCCAACTGAAAAGAGCTAGAGCGAAGATAGACTATGTAGCCCTAGACCAAGGCGAAACTTTCGCTGTTGACAAATCAGTGCATCCGCACGTACCTAACTTTCTCAACTTTGAGCCTTCTGTTGAACTTTCTAGGCAATCACAGAGTTTTGTCAGTATCCTTGATAGCAATGAACTAGACAAAAACTATGTCTTTGCAACAGGTCTTGTCAAGCCGGTGTTGGTGCACAACGTAACATCTACATCTGGCTTGAAACTCCCAAGGCCCAGGGAGAGCATCACTGTTGATTATGTTGCAGATAAAACTGGTGGGGATGAGCAGGTGGAGGTTATGGATGTTCTATCGCAGCAAAGCGAGCTGCCCACTTGGACATTGCGCCAATGGAAAGACTACTTTTACACACCCGAATCAGAAAGAGATCGTATACGAAATGTGATTTCTTTGGAAATATCACGCGTTGAGGAGCTCGGCACAAACTTTTCTCGGCCAAAAATGGTTGCTGACTTAGACTTGGTCGACAAAGTGTGGTGTGACTCAGATGGGCACAATCAAGAGCGGCCCCGGGTTACTGTTTACTGCCTCATGTCTGTGCGAGGTTCATATACCGATTTTCATATCGACTTTTCCGGGACTCCGGTCTACTATACGGTATGCCACGGCGCAAAAACATTTCTCATGTATCCTCCCACACCTGAAAATTTGGAGCTTTACGTCAGCTGGTGTCTCGAACCGCATCAAAACTTCACTTGGTTTGCAGACTACTCCAAGCGCATCAAAGGGAAAACAATCAAGCCCACAGGCGGATTCAAGGTCGATTTGAAGCAAGGCGATTTGTTCATTATCCCCAGTGGCTGGATTCACTCGGTCTACACGCCTCACGATGCTGTTATCATTGGAGGTAATTACTTGACATTACGAGACTTGAATATGCACTTGAAAATCTACGACATTGAGAGGCGGACGCGTGTGCCATCCAAGTACCGATTCCCAATGTTCAACAAAGTTTTGTGGCTTACCAGCTGGTACTACTTCAACCATCAGGACAAATTTCTCGAAGACTTGGGTATCCCTTGTCGTAAAATAGAAAAGCATCATACTAATATGCCGAAGCTTGACTCTCAAACTACTGAAAATACAACCTTCAATCTGGAAGTCCATATAAAACCAGAAGGAGTCTCAGAGAACTTGGATAACGCGTCTTACTCCATTGCTCAAAACTGTGAATCTAATTTTTTGAAGGATGAATCACCTTATAGACCTGAGGCACTTGGATCTCACAGCACCGATCGGTATTGCAGCGGGTCGACCTACGATATTTCTCACGCACGTTCCGTTTTGCAATCACTTATTTTGCATCTAAAACAGCATTACGAAGTGAGTAAAGCACAGCCTATTGCAAAGAAGAGCATTCCGACTCGTCTTATTGGCAGAAATGTGAATGACTATTTTGCCAAACTAGAATCATGGCTTGATACCCTCCGTTAGCAGGGCCGTTTTTGCACGTTTGCGAGGACATGATATGGAAAACTAATACACGGTCTTTGAACTTGTAGAGCACATCAGCAAAACGAATTCATCGGTAAAACTATAGGTCTCATTCTTAGTACCATATACACAGAAACCAGCGCTCATTGTGGGTACAATCAAGATCTTGGTGTTAAAAGACTTGATTTCTTGTGATTTCTGAAGCGCCTGGTTATTCAATCCACAATTCACAGGAAGCTTTGGTAAGTTTCAGCCTCTGGTGGAACTCATTCATATTTCAGCTCTAACAATTATAAGAGAATATTTAGCTTTCAAGAAACGCAAGAGATGTGCAAAGCACGTCTAGTACACGATCGAAATCGTGTAGGTTTCACTGACTGCCCTTTTTAAAGTGGACATGGTTTACGAGAAAATTATGCTGAGTATCTACGCGAAGACCATGATGGTGAATATTTAAAATATTTGTGAATCTTTACTGAAAGATAATTTACTCGGTGATTGTGTTTTTTCAAGTTCTTACCCCTCCTATAAGCTAACCATCTTCTCATCTCGTCCCCAATGTTTTTTTTGTAATATTCGACAAGCGCATTGGTCTCTGATATATCGTTCGCTACACAGGGTCATATCTCGTTAAATGTCTTTTCTATCATATATGCATGTTTATTTAATGGATGTTCAACACCCTTCACATTTACAACTCCAACTTGATTCCCTTCTCTCTGGCAGCCTCGCCGTACTTCTTGATTCTGATGGATTGCACGGCAATAAATCCGGAGGTGTCCTCTGGAGAGAAGCCAGTCAATTCATCCATAGAAGACTCCGTCTCATCGTACAATTTCTCGGTGTCAGAGTATCTACCCAAGACAGAAACCGAACCCTTGTAAGCTCTAGCTCTGACAGTTCCGTTCACGGTAATCTGGGATGGTGGGATCATAGATCTGACGTACTCACACTCAGGGGTGAAGTACATACCGTTGTACAACAACTTGGCGTAAGAGACAGTGACAAATTGGTCTCTCAAAGCTCTCACTTCCCTGTCCAAGGTCAAACCTTCCAAGTCAACGTGAGCATTTCTCAAGATGGTCAAACCTGGAGTCTCGTAACATCCTCTGGACTTGATACCGATAAATCTGTTTTCGACAATGTCAATTCTACCAACACCGTTTCTTCTGGCCAAGGAGTTCGCCTCAATGAACAACTCAACTGGGTCAGTGACAATCTTCTTGCCACCATTAAGCACCAACTTGACAGGCAATCCCTTCTCGAAAACAACGGAGAAGTCCTCAGGAGTCTCAGGTGCATCTGTTGGGTCGACGGTCAATTTCCACATGTCCTTTGGTGGCGTGGTGTTAGGGTCCTCCAAAATACCGGCCTCGAAAGAAATGTGTGCCAAGTTCTCGTCAGTGGACCATGGCTTTGCCTTGGTCTGAGCAACTGGAATGTTCTTAGAAGCAGCATACTCCAACAAATCCTTTCTGCCAGCAAATCTGTTGAAGAAAACTGGGTCTCTCCATGGGGCAATAACCTTGACGTCTGGCTTCAAGGCATAGAAGGACAACTCGAAACGAACTTGGTCATTACCCTTACCAGTACATCCGTGCGAGACGGCAAAACAACCCTCTTCTTCGGCAACTTGAATTTGTGCTTGGGCAATGACTGGTCTGGCCAAAGACGTACCCAAAAGGTAGACGTTCTCGTAAATGGCGTTGGCCTGGATAGCAGGGAAACAGACGTTTTCAACAAACGGCTTTCTGACATCCACAACGACAAACTTGGTGGCACCGATGGCCAAGGCCTTTCTCTCAGCCTCCTCAAAGTCCTCCTCTTGACCAATGTTAGCCAAAAAGGCAATCACCTCGTATCCTTCTTCGAGCAACCAAGCAAGGATCACCGAGGTGTCCAAACCACCAGAGTAGGCCAAACAAACTTTTCCTTTAGACATTGTTGTGACGATAGAATAAAAATTCTTAGAGTTATAGAGAAGAAAAAAAAGTCTGAAAATCGTGCGAGGATAGGGGCCCACCTTTATACTGCTGATTGTCGACCGCGGTAAAATTTTCAATTTCCTTTTTGGGACGTCTGCATATAATATGACTCATAAATCTCGTCACTGATCCACATTACTCACAACACCTTTCAGGCTTTACTTTTCATGAGGTTGCGTATTATTCTATAAATTCAAAAACTTAGTCAGCTCGCTACCTCTTTTTTCTTTCACTCAAAAAGTGAAAACGTATGCCTTGATATTTCGTCAGATCGCGTACAACTAGCTTGGCGATCTTCGATTGACTCAGGCGCGCACGTGACTTTGAAAACCCGATAACGGGTGGGAATGTTCGCTCTTGAATGGCCGAAATAATTCTGATAGGCCGAGCGCACAATATTTGTTCTAACACTAGAACCAAGATTTATGATACTTGAATATACACTGTTCTTGATAAAATATCCTTTATTCGATTTTGAACAGTGTGTTTCTCTATTGAGCCAAATTCAAGATATTTCAATGCCATTTTAATTTTTAGAAGAGAAAATTTTGTTGATGGAAAGTAGAAGTGTTCAAAAAGTAACAACAGGTGCGCAATGGTGATTATCTTCGGGGCTTCAAGAAGCGAAAAATCTGTCGTCTTTCAAATAGTTCAACGTGCAAAAAAGCTATCAAAATCTTCGCTCAACAGGAAAAATAACACATTGATATATCTGTACTTAAGCGTTTACTGTAGTTAATCAACCTATCCCGGCTGACAGAACAATCGTTCAAGACATGAATTATATTGAGGGACATGAAAGAATGATTTTCAATTAACAAAGAATGGGTCCGAAATTAACCAAATTGACGCTTTAAATATTTGACACATGATCAAATAGAATTAGAGAAAAAAAAAAAGAAAAAAGTCTAGGAATGTACATGAAACAAATTTCCATGCCAAGAGTCAAGAAAATGAGTCTCGATTCCAACGAGTCATTCGATGACTCCGGAAGACAATTTCTCGTGCGCTTGTTGTGCGGTGCGCGTTCCGGGCCCACAAATAGAAAAGCCTTGATGACCATGAGTCATCCATAGAAGTCATCTATTGAATCACCCATGAGTGAAGACAAAAAATTAGGCGTTACTCATGCCATACGACAGAGGCTAGGGTTTGACGATAGTCGTCTTTGGAAAAGGTTTCTGGCCCGCCGATTGGAGCTTATTGATACGTTGGATCTCAGCTCCAAGAAGGCCAGTGATCAAGAAGACGAGATTAGAAGGGTGGCAGAAGTCCTTCGCATAGAGTTTCGATATGATTCCCAGTATTTTACTGACTTTGATAAGTTGGTGAGAGCAGCTGTGCAAAGTGTAAGGAGAAACAGAAAACGTGGAACCAAAACTGGCCGGGCAAATCTGAAACGTCGACACTTGGATAGCGAGTCACAGTCAGAGTCTTCCAGCACATACACACCGAGTGGGCCAAGCTCCGTAAATCCCGAGAAAAATCTGTTTCTCTCAGAGATATCCAATCTAAACACCGATGGATCCGACTCTCTCTATGACATGAGCTATTCTACTTCCAGAGTTATTAGTAGCCTGGATCGAGCACGCGCTGCCATTGACTCGATCATCAGACCAACTAATATAGAGCGGAAAATGTCACAAAGTGGAATCCAGCTCCCACCACTCCTGAACGTCGCTCTGGCTCCACATCAACTCGATAACGAAAAGGCACTTCTGACGTTGAGATTATCGCTCCTTTGGTTAATGAAAAGATCCAAGCTGTGTCTTAGCCTGGCTTCTCTGCATAAAAACGAGTCGCTTAAAATCATTGGCCAGTCTTCAATTACAACAGTCAACGCTCTAATGCTAGAGAGTTCATTTTCGGGACTCACCCACACATCTGTTGAGTATTTGCGAGATCGCCTTTCCCTGGCAGGGTTTCAGGCACGGTTCTACCGCAGTCTTGAGCCAGAATGTCCTATTTCAGGTGCCTTAGATGACGAGACTGCGGTTTCCACCCTAGAAACTCTAGTTGGGTGCTGTGTCAAAGACTTTGGGTTTGATTCAGTATTATACCTAATCGGAGAAGCATTCTACTTTCTAATATTGCTCGAATATCCACTAGTTCTGCGCTCTTCTGTTCACTTCCGGCGTGTGACAGACATTCCTCAGGCCCCTGGAGTGTTCCACAGAGATTTCGCAAAAGATCAGCCTGTTTCTTTAAGTAATTTGGCTGCAGTGGCGTCAGAACTTCGCAGTCAAGCTGTCTCCACCTCCCCTTCTACTGATACACACCTGACTACTACCCCGGTAGCCCCTTTGACCCAAGATAAGAAAGAGAAATATTTAGAGGTTCTTCCTTTGCCATCAAACCCAGAGAAAGAACGAAAGCAAGTCAAACTCAAGTTTTTGTCATCGTCTTTGAACTTCATGTTTTCTATTAAAAACTCCGCGCCTCCCAGGTTTGTTGAGATAGTCGACAACGCCAAACAAGCCTTCAGGCTCAACGAAAATCAGATATATGGCTTAAGAAACAGCAAAAGTGGGCTTGTTATCAACACCGACCTAGATCTAGAACAAATATTTGCGCACGAGCAAGAGATTGAGCTTGAAGTATTTACGCAGAAGTTTTCCCCTATTCCGTTTTCGGAAATTACAACAGCCATCACCCCCAATCCTAGCTCGGAAGATCGTTCAAAGATTGTTTTGCCTTTGCCCTTGAGACAAAATGTGCCCCCAGTGTTGCCATCGCCCATAGACCGAGCCCATCTGCCAGGATACCCGCGCCTTCCATTTCTACCCAAATTCCAGCCTTTACTTTGATATGCTCCATAAATTGAGGGCACCACAATTGATTGTACTACAGAGTTTATACACACATAAGAATGTCGTCACTAATGCCGCTACATCGGTTGCAGGCCAACATCGCAATGTCGTAATTCGAAAGCACTATGAAATCTCCATGGGCGGACGCGCGCATGTGCGGGTGTCTGTTTTATGTGTATTTCCGAGACGCTGATAGGCAAAAGTACAGGAAGTAGTTCTTATATAATTGGAGACACAGACTCGAGAAAGGGCAAAGAAAACCTGTCATGGCTCTTAATATTGATAGCTCCAATGCCACATTATGGAACTGCTCACACCAGCGGCAAAACGATCCTCTAAACAGTGAGCTGGAGGACACCTCAAGCTTTAAACTGGCAGTCTCATCACCAAGAGCAAACTATGTGCCGCCGCTAAACTTTTCTCTTGTTGAAGACGAGATATATCGCAGTGGGTTTCCCATGCCTATAAACTATCCATTCTTGCAACAACTCAAAATCAAAACAATCATATACTTGGGTGATCTAGGAGAGGAAAAACCGAAAAAGAAAGCCAAGGACGATAAGAAGCCCAAAGGTGGTGATGAGGGAACTAAAGAAAAAAAGCCAAAAAAAGACAAGCATGGCACAACCGAAATACTAGAAAACTACAAAGCGTGGATTGCTACTACGGACATCAATTTCCATCATTTAGTGATGCACTCTTCACAGGAACCTTTCATTCTGAACACACAAGAGGGAGCGCAAACTGCGTTGATTGGAGCGTTGAGTCTCATGCTCGATAAGCGGAACTTTCCGATTCTAATACACTCTAACAAGGGCAAACACAGAATAGGGGTTCTTGTAGGCTTGATGCGCAAAATTTTTCAGGGCTGGTGCATGAGTGGGATCTTCGAAGAGTATGAAAAGTTTGCCATGGGCAAATCAGAGTACGATTTGGAATTCATTGAGTTATGGCAACCCGAATTAGCTTATGAGGAAGCTCACCTCCCAGAGTTTGTTAGAATATGACACAGAAACCAAAAAAGTGGGTTTATATAATATTTGCGGTTTATTCCGACGGGTAAACAGGAGCAAGCACTCAATAGGCTCAAGATTTGTTTTTCATTTCTCTCAACTTGGCCATGACTTGCACAGGGTCTGTTTCGGCAGTTGCCTTTTGCACCTGAGGATCGCTAAGACGCATGAATGGGTTAAACTTGAGCTCATCACCAATTGTTGATTTTCCAGCAGTGAATTCAGTCGACTCAGCAAGCGCCTTTAGCTCTGAAAGGGCTTTGTTTTGCATGACTTTTTCGCTAAATCTGACGTTCGACTTCGTATACTCGTGACCAGAATAAACAACAGTTTCAGATGGCAATTTTGCTAGCACTTCGTTCAAAGCTTTGTTCATCTCGGCAGCATTTCCTTCGAAAAAACGTCCACATCCACTGATGAAAAGGGTATCGCCTGTGAAGACGGCTTTTTCGCCAGTCTTTGAGTCCTTCGCGTAATAGCAAATTGAGTCTTGCGTGTGGCAAGGGGTGTGTAAAGCTGTAATTGAGATATTGTCTCCCAAGTCAATAACCTCTTGATGAGAAGGGGTGTACGTGACCAATTCGGAGTCCTTTCCACCAATGATCGGCAAATCTGGGTACTTCTTGTGAAAAGTTCTATTGCCTCCTGCGTGATCCCAGTGGTGATGAGTATTCACGATGGCTTTCAATTCCACGTTAGGTTTTTTTTCAGCAAGGTAACTCAAGACATCGGTTGGGAAAGCTGCATCGATTAACCAGCCATGTCTGGTTGAATCATCAACTATAAGATATGCGTAGTTATTTGACTCTCCCCATGAAGACGGAATAGGAGTAATGTGCATTTTTCTGATGATTTGAGACTTGAAATCGATTTTGGGTTGCCGATTAGCAACAATGCGTTTGAAACCTGTGAAGTCACAAGACAGTTCAGCAAAAGAGGAGTATGATGCGATCTTGATAAGCGAGTTGGGTGGATTGCTAAACCGCGTGCAGTACGTGAAGGTATTTGTCGAGAAGCACAAACTGAAACGCCGATAAGAACTCGAGGGTTTAAAGTTGATTCCAGAAATTCTTTGCGGGTATCCCATTATTTGATATATATGCTGAGCCAGCAAGCGCAGGTGTGCATGGGTGATGGGGCAACCACTGAGCGAAAATTGCGAGACAAATATGATAGGCTCAGAACCGCGGACATTCCGCATACTAGGTATATACGGGGACCATGAACAGTTTTCAAAAATATTCCGGCAAATATGAAATTTCCTTTTTGTTCAAGCCCATTCCACTGAATATATATATATATATATATATATA